AAGCACACACTCTCCATATCACCCACAACCTCTCACCCAGCACATATCTCCAATATTCACCCCAAACATCACCCAGCACACATCTCCAGATCACCCCCAACACTCAACCCAGGGCGATACATCTCCATATCACCCCCCCAACCTCACCCTAGCACACATCTCCATAGCACTCCCAGCACATAGCTCACTTTCATCTCTGAACGCATCCCAAGCAGAATAGCTCCATTTTTCCACCACCTTCCCAGAGCCCCATATCACCCCCCTCCCAGCACACAGCTCCATATCATTGAGATCCTCCCCCAACAGTAGCAACATATCACCCCCAACAATACACCCAGTTACACAACTGCATATCACCCAAAACATTAATTCTATATTACCCCCCTCCCCCTTCTCGCTCCAGCACACAGCTCCATAACACCTTTACTATTTCACTATCACCCCCAGCACACAGCTATGTATCCCCCCACCTCCTTGAACTCTGGTACCTGAGCTTCCGGTAATAGCTTTGTACTTTCTCTATGGACACGTGATTGATCTGCTGCTGTATTTCCTCCAGCGACATGTTCGATCCTGGGTGAGACTGGCCCTCTAGACTCTCGATAGCTGAAATGTGACAGATGTACATGAAATAGAGTCCCACAGATACAGAATAGTTGAAAGCACCTCGCTCTAACCCTTACACTGGTAAGGCGAATTGACGATTTAACCCTTTATCATCCAGTATTATTGTGCTCCTTGAACAGAACTAAACAATTTCTTCATTTTTCTCTCAGATGCTACAAAGTGTCCATCGCATTACACCCCATGACAGTATAGGAGAAGATTTCCAATATATTAGATGATTAACCCTCAATGGCCTCATCTTATGTTGGACTACAATTCAGGTCTGGCAGTATACAGTATACATGTCTATAGTGGAGCTCCTTCATGCTCCTCATAGTTTTAGTTGCTCTGTTATTAGCCCGGTTCTAGGTCATCATTTCCTATGTTCTGAATGTCCAGAACTGAGCTTTGTATTCCAGACCAGGCAGTACCAGTGCTGTGTATGAGAATGTGTTTATGTATTGGATACCTTTAGTGAATAGGACAGTCTGGAGCTTCAGGCAGCCTCCATGCTCAAACTTGGTGGGCAGCTTGGAGAAGTGAAAACTGTCCAGGTAGAAGATTACTTTCAGTGCTTGTCTTGTTCCTTCAATGTGGTGGAAGACGGCCGTATCTAAGGAAGAATATTTGTCAGGTCTCACCCTTCATATTCATACAAGAATCTTACACTTATGGCGTTTTATGCTTGAATCGTCCTAGTTGTGGGCTGAGTGAGGGTAGGGCTCGATCTCCTCCTCGGTCTTCAATGGAGACCATAAAACCAACAACCTTCCCCCACCCACAGCTTGATGCTGATGCCCGCTGATGAAATATCTTACTTGCAACGAGTGTTTCATCCATCTGCTTGAAGTAGAAGACAACTTTATCCAGATCCTGGAGTGTGGCACTGATGTCCTCCAGCATAATCCGCTCTTCCTTCTGCACAGAGGAGTCAGGGGGGCGGTCAGACACATGGGGATAATACACACAATGATCACCCTTCCCATCCCCAATGCACACACCACATAGAGAAGACTGAATGGACATGCCCTTTAAGTATACTCATTCCACTCTTCCCTGCAGTTGCTCCTGGCTCCTTAAAATCCCACACTACCTAGAGAAGACCAAATGGACCTGCCCTTTGGATAGAGTCTGACCTCTCCTCACTGCAATTGCTCCTGGCTCCTTAGAATCCCACCACTACCTAGAGAAGACCAAATGGACCCGCCCTTTGGATAGAGTCTGACCTCTCTTCACTGCAATTGCTCCTGGCTCCTTAGAATCCCACCACTACCTAGAGAAGCCCAAATGGACCCGCCCTTTGGATAGAGTCTCATGGCTCCTTAGAATCCCACCACTACCTAGAGAAGCCCAAATGGACCCGGCACTTTGACCTCTCCTCACTGCAATTGCTCCTGGCTCCTTAGAATCCCACCACTACCTAGAGAAGACCAAATGGACCTGCCCTTTGGATAGAGTCTGACCTCTCTTCACTGCAATAGCTCCCGGCTCCTTAGAATCCCACCACTACCTAGAGAAGACCAAATGGACCCGCCCTTTAGATAGAGTCTGACCTCTCCTCACTGCAATTGCTCCTGGCTCTTTAGAATCCCACCACTACCTAGAGAAGACCAAATGGACCCGCCCTTTGGATAGAGTCTGACCTCTCCTCACTGCAATTGCTCCTGGCTCCTTAGAATCCCACCACTACCTAGAGAAGACCAAATGGACCCGCCCTTTAGATAGAGTCTGACCTCACTTCACTGCAATTGTTCTGGACCTTTAAAATGTCATACTTCCTTAAGAAAACCAAATATATAGATGTCCATTAAGTAGATTCAGTCCACTCTACCCTGCAGTGCTTTGTGGACCCTTAGAGTTCCATACTACCTATAGAAAACTGTAAAGACATGCCTTTTAAGTTGAGTCACTCCACTCCTCCCTGAAATTGTTCCTGGCTCCTTAAAATCCCACACACACTACCTATAGCAAACCAAGTGGACATGCGGCACGCGCGCGAACCTGTGTCCCCGTATATCAGGTGTCCCATTTAGAGCCCCTCCTTACATCAGGAGTCCTCATCAGAGTTCCCCTTTGCATTAGGGTAACTATAAGAGTCCCCCTTTTATCAGTTGTTTTGAGTCAGAGTGCCCCTTTACGTCAACTGTCCTCACCAGAATGCCCCTTACATATCATGTTCACATCAGAATGCCCCCTTACATCAATTGCTCCCCTCAGGGCACCCCTTAGATCAACTGCTGCTAACAGAATGTCCCCCTACATCAACTGTCCCCATCATATCTCATGGATTACTAGATGCAACTAAAATCTGTGGGGCACAGCCCACCCAAGAACCCCCTAGATCCAGGCCTGCCATTGAATTGGTTTTATAAGGGTTCCCCAAAGACCTGGAAATTGTGCTGCTTTTTGCAGCAAGTGGGAGCCATTGTGTATAGATTGCGGAGGGATATCTGATTGACTGCACGGGCATTTCTATGTATCATCTGGGACCAATTCCACCCTATGAAGTCCTACGTGATATTCTTTCAAACTGTCTTAGGCATAGTGTATTCCATTATATATCTGCGGGTGCCTCCTGCATTTTCTTGGCAACCATCGGAGGCAGTGTGCTTTGGGTTAAGGGATTTCTTTCCCTCCCCATATATAGCCTTCGGGCTTCCAGGTGGGACCGTGCCCGGGTGCCTCACTTCTTCTCCCCACCTCCGCTCCATATATATAGCCTTCGGGCTTCCAGGTGGGACCGTCCCGGGTGCCTCACTTCTTCTCCCCACCTCCGCTCCATATATATAGCCTTCGGGCTTCCAGGTGGGACCGTGCCCGGGTGCCTCACTTCTTCTCCCCACCTCCGCTCCATATATAGCCTTCGGGCTGCCAGGTGGGACCGTGCCCGGGTGCCTCACTTCTTCTCCCCACCTCCGCTCCATATATATAGCCTTCGGGCTTCCAGGTGGGACCGTGCCCGGGTGCCTCTCTTCTCTCCACCTCCACTCCTCCTCTACTTGTTTCGGCTGGCCGTCAGCATGGAGTCCCTCTTTTTGAACCCTGAGGAAGCCTACCCGAAACGTTGGGTTACGACACCTTTCTAGTTCTAGTTTTTAATAGTGTGCTGTATTTATCACACCGGTTTTGATTTAGGAAGGAGTATTGGGGTTCACTGCACTGACTATTTTCATCTGTTTAAATAGATTTTATGGGGGTAATCCCTGATTTTTATTCTTTGGAACACATTGGTTTATGGAATTTTTTTGTGTGAGTGTATTTTCCTGAGGGTGAATCAGCACCTAAAATGTCCCAATATGTATTGTTCTCCTCATTTGTCTCTTCAGTGAGGGATGTGGTGCTGATGGATCAACTATATCTGTTACTAGTTTCAAGACCTGAAAATTATTTTAGGGGCTCCTAAGGTTGATAAAAGGATGAGGAAAGGATGAAACCAAGAGGGGAGGCATGGCTCACCCTGCGCAAAAAAAATACTCACGACGTTGGGCGACAGCAGTGATTGGTAGGTGAGCAGCACCCCAGTAACAGCAATCTGCTCCAGCCACTTCCTGCTGGCATCACGGCTGCTCTCTTCGTACTCGCCATTGTTGTTGTATCGGTAGTTGAGGGCCGCCATGAGCTGCTCAGTGAACGTACTGATGGCAGCCACCAGTGTCTGGCAGAATATGGCATCTCGGCGAACCTGCAGTTCCGTATCTGGGAGAAGAGAGGGAAGAATTACTGCAGGGTGAAATGACATGAACCATCTCCTGTCCACCTAATTCCTCGCTGTATGGTGGCTGCCTCACGTGGGGTGCTGGAATACATACAGTACATCAGAGAATAGGTGCAGGAGCTCCCCCATTTTGAGTCACTTCTTGTCTCCTCCCTATCCACCTCCGAGTCCCATCTCTTGGTTCCACCTCCACCCACTGCCCAGTACCACTGCAGAGCCAAGTATCATTTTGTGGTGCTAAGTATTTCGTATGGGATTTGTTAATAACAAGAAAAGCAGTAAATCTCCCACCCTCTCCAGCAGCAACAATAGACCCACCCTCTCCACCAGCAACATTTGGCCCCCACAACAAAATACTACCCAAGCAACAATAGACCCCCATCACCAACAACAGATCTCCAAGCATCCAACATCAATAGACTCTTCATAAGCTAGCAACAATAGACCATTTTCTCAACAGTAGATCCTTTTAAGCAACAACCTCCCCAGCAACAATAGATTGCCACACAAAAATAGACCCCCCCCCAGTGATTCCCCTGCAGCAAGCATCAATAGCCCTTCCAAGACACCCCAGCACCCCTTGCCATTATATACTCTATATTGACAAAAGTATTGGTCCATCCCTCCAAATCATGTGATTCGGGTGTTCCAATCCCATCCCAATCATGTGATTTAGGTGTTCCAATCCCCTCCATATCATGTGATTCAGGTGCTCCAATCCCCTCCCAATCATGTAATTTAGGTGTTCCAATCCCCTCCATATCATGTGATTCAGGTGTTCCAATCCCCTCCATGGACACAGGTGTATACAATCAAGCCCCTAGGCATGAAGACTGCTTCTACAAACATTGGTGAAAGAATGGGTCGCTCTCAGGAGCCCAGTGACTCCAAGCGTGGTCCCGTGATAGGTGGCTACCTGTGCAATAAGTCCATCCGTGACATTTCCTGGCTACTAAATATTCCACGCTCAACTGTTAGTGGGATTATAACAAAGTGGAAGCAACTGGGAACAACAGCCACTCAGCCACCAAGTGGTAGGCCACGTCACATGACAGGGCGGGGTCAGCGCATGCTGAAGCGCACAGTGCGCAGAAGTTGCCAACTGTCTGCAGAGTCAATAGCTAAAGACCTCCAAACTTGGTGTGGCCTTCAGATGAGCCCAACAACAGTGTGTAGAGAGCTTGGAGACGTGTTCTCTGGAGGGACCAATCACGCTTCTCAGTCTGGCAATCCAATGGACGTGTCTGGATTTGGCGGCTGCCAGGAGAACGGTACTTGTCTGACTGCATTGTGCCAAGTGTAAAGTTTGGTGGAGGGGGGATTATGGTGTGGGGGTGTTTTTCAGGAGTTGGGCTTGGCCCCCTAGTTCCAGTGAAGGGAACTCTTAAGGCGACATTTTGGACAATTTCATGCTCCCAACTTTGTAGGAGGAGTTTGGGGATGGCCCCTTCCTGTTCCAACATGACTGCCCACCAGTGCACAAAGCAAGGTCCATAAAGACATGTAGGAGCCAGTTTGGGGTGGAGGACCTTGACTGTCCTGCACAGAGTCCTGACCTCAACCCCATAGAACACCTTTGGGATGAATTAGAGCGGAGACTGCGAGCCAGGCCTCCTACCCCGACATCAGTGCCTGACCTGACAAATGTGCTTCTGGAAGAATGGTCCAACCTTCCCATAGACACCCTCCTAAACCTTGTGGACGGCCTTCCCAGAAGAGTTGAACCTGTTATAACCACATGATGATCTCCTCTATATTTCATCTACACCAAATTCTTCACTGTATGGTGGCTGCCTCACATGGGGTGCCGGAATACATACAGTATATATGTGCCTGTATCTGTATATAGATGGAAGAACACACGATGAGGCATGGTTTCTCCCTTGATCTATGGGGGGAACTATCATTAGCTCCTCTAGATGGTTTTGACTTTCAGATTATTCATTGGTCCACAAGTCTGATTGCTGGCTCCAAGACTGGAGAAGAAACCCCTAATAGAGGCACCTTGACCAACGACTTCCATAACTGTTAATGTAGAACTGAAAGTCCCAGGAAGCCCAGAGTGCAGAGTAATGGAAGACCAGATACTATTTTATGACTGTCTATTTACCCAGCCATGGGGGTGTTGTGGGTTCTATATGGCAGACTGGGACTTTCCTGCTTTAGAACAGGTCTGTCACTTATTCGGGGAATGTGGAGAATGATCAGGTACTGCTGGAGGACGGAAGGAAAAAAACGTGTCTATGTTTGGGACAACAGAAAAGATTGTCTCATGTCAGAGCGAGTGAGGAGAACACCGTGCAGTCAGTATATAAAACCTGCCATACCCATCATACCGCATTCCTCCAAACTTCTCATCCACATCCACCACCCGGGTCTACAAGTAGAGCTGATGTCATGCTGGCTGCACTCGCTAAGAACTTTGTGTTTACCACTGCAACCAATCAGATGCTACCAAACAGAGCGATAGAACTGAAATAGGAACCTGATTAGTTGGAAGTGTAATATAGACCATCTATGATGGTATTTATGTTGGGTCACCCCAAAAAAATGATGCTTATCCTTGGGTGAGCTTATGGTTGGCTATATAGGTTCAGATGAATGACAAGTGGAGAGACATCTTATGTTCTATCAAAACCCTCCACTAATTATCAAGTTCCCAACCACGAATCCCGACTATGGCACCACCTGCCTGGAGTTTGCATGTTCTCCCTGTGCCTATATGGGTTTCCTCTGCGAACTCCGGTTTCCTCCCACACTCCAAAGACATGCTGGTAGGTGAATTGGCTCCTGTCTACATTGGCCCTAGTATGTGTATGTATGAATGTGAGTTAGGGACCTTGGATTGTACGCCCCTCGGGGGCGGGGCTGATGTGAATGTACAATATATATGTAAAGCGTGGCGTAAACTGACGAATGTGACACTCGAGCATCACATTCGCCAGGCAGAACAGACCTGTTTCAGCTTTCTATGGCCCTCTTTCCTGAGCCCAGCACATTGTATAATGTTCCCAGCATTTCATATCATACCAATAAATCTCTTACCGGTGCATTTCAGCAGAGCCAGCAACAGCTGATTCTTCCCATCTGCAAAACAGAGAAAAATACAATTCAATGGAATTCTCTGACAAGGAGAACAAGAACAAACAAGTCGTCCAAAGATCAATCTGTGTGCTTCTACTACCGATAATCAGCGACAAAGACCATTCCATGACTGACCCAGGGGTTTCAATGGCATCCTCCAGCACCTGATGCTCATGGGCGCCCTCTAGGGCACAAAGCAGCATGCGCTGTAATTGGGCTTATGACGTCATTATGACATCAAGGGGTGGGGTGGAGTCTATTTTCTGCTGTTTGATTGGTGGGAAGTTCTTTAAATGTCATTCTGTTTTGCACTGCACTGAAGGGGTCCAAAACATTGCTGAGATTGCTGAATAAAGCTTTGGACCCACTTTGGAGACTCTTGGTGTGCTGGTCTGCTTGCTTGAATTAAAATGGCCCTGTACCGTGTGATTGCTGTGACCAATCACACTTGTAAATAATATACACCCATTTGTTTTTATTATTTTTATAAGAAATGTAACAGAATACATTTTGGCCTAAATTACTGAAGATTATCTGCAAAGTTTTCTAACAGATATTAAGAAAAGTGTTTGTTTCCCCAAATATTTGGTCTTTTTTCCTTTATAGAGTAGAAAATTAAAAATCCCAGGGGCGATTTACCTCTTCACGCCCCCGGCCGAACGCAAATATGTGGCCTCCCGGCGTCTGGGTCTAGACGCCGAGCGGCGGCACATTTGCGTTCTATTAAAAAAGGACATATGTGCCGAGAGAGTTTGCCCTGCACGCTCCCAGCACACATGTCCGGTACTCACGGAAAGGTCCCGATCTCCTCTTTCGATCGAGACCTTTCCCGATCATGTGATGGCGAATGACGGTGGTCACATGACTCTAAAACCCCCGCCCTGCCTCCTGCCTTCTGAAACTCTTAAAGGGCCGGGAGGCGCCAGCGTGAACGGGTTAAGTACCACTGAAACAAAACTCTGAAAACTCTCAAAAATGGTATAAAATTCATTTGGGAACAATGTTGCATTTCTGAGTAATTGTGATTCAAAGTATGACAGCACTGAAAGCTGGAAAATGGCCTGGGCAGGTAGGGGGGTTAGGGTTATCTTCGGAATCTCCAGTCTCTGGTTCTTGGAAGACACAAAGGGGGGGATTTACTAAAACTGGAGCCCCCAGAATCTGGTGTGCATGGGAACCAATCAACTTCTACCTTCGCCTTGTTCAGTTATGCTTTGGCAAAAACAAAGCTGGAAGCTGATTGGTTTCTGTGCACAGCTGCACCAAATTTTGCACTCTCCAGTTTTAGTAAATCAACCCCAAAAGGGTTCTGATTACAAATAAATTATCTGTTCGAATGTCTCAAACATTTTAATTCCCATAATTTAGATTTATATCTTATGATCATCAGCTCCATCTAGTGGTCACAATGCAGTTATCTTCCTGAGTTATTTTAGGGAAATACCACATAATGTCCACTAGGCGGAGCTGACGATCATAGGAAATAAACGTATTTGGTTTGTGACTGCGGAGCGAAAGTTTTATTTTACAAATCGACTCCCAAAATGTAATTTATAAACAGACCACAAAATATAATTTCCTTTTAATAGAAGCTCTTGGCCGCAAAGTCTCACGTGGTACCAACCTTCAACGTATTTCTGGATACTCTCCACCAGGGTCTTGATGGAGTTGGGGAGGTTCCAGGGATCTTCTCTGATACTGATTTGGATCATACTGCGACACCCTCACCGTCCACTCCTCTTTCTTCTGGAACTCTGCGGGGACACCATGAAAGAGACTTCTTCAAACAATGGAGAGGTTCCCTCGTCACCACATGACATATGCAGGGTGATGCTATCTTTCGGGGGGGGGGGGGGGGGGGTGCCTGCTTTTTGCATGTGTGGGGTTCTTTTTCCGTATGGTCGGATTTTCTTAGTTTTGCATGGAGTCGGGTTTTGCATGGAGTGGGGGAAGGATTAGAACCCCTGACAGGTTTTTACTCCTATCTGGGGCTCTTTTAAAGAGATTTCTTCTCACTTCCTGTCTGGGTGACAACATTTGACAGGCAAGAAGTGAGGGCAGGTGTGAAAATGCTTGTCTTTAGTAGAGTGGGGGAGAGGCAGAAGGCCTGTGAGATCTGTATTGAAGTCTGTGTCTCCATTGCAGATTTTCCCCTCACTTTTCCTCCGCTGAAACCAGAAAGGAAGTTGAATTGTCGGAAAGACATGAAAAGGAGCCCCTGAGAGCATTCAAAACACAGCAGAGGTCATAGCCCTCCACTGCATCAAGAACGAAGGAGAAAAGCATTGGCCTGGCATTCATTTCAACAGCCAATCAGAGGAGGACAGTACTGCTGCACTACTCTTAGATTGATTGCCAATAAGCGGAGGACACCGGAGGAGCACCAAATGGAGAAATGGAGAAAAAAAAAATGGAGAAAATTCTCTGAACGTTGGCACAATGACAGCCAAGAGACAACCGTCCACCAATCACCTTGCAGGCTGTGCTCCATTGGGAAGTGCTTGGTCTCCTCGAAGGCTTTGGCCATGACTTTCCCCTTCAGCAGAGTGATGATGGCGTCCACCTGACAACAGACACACAAGACGCATATTTAGAAGACTTTCCGCAGCTTTGTTGTACATTTCCTCCCAAGGCTCAAATTGCACCGCATCTGCACCAAAAAGGTCCGCGCTAGAATCCGATTGGACGAGTATTCACACCTATGTGATCTGATTCTGCACATCGCACCGCGTTTTGCGGACCGGTTTTCAGGGTGTTAACTTAACATTCACACCCGCAGCGGTTGGCATGAACGGGGTGCGATTCTGATGCGGTGTGGAATCAGTGTGAACCCCGGGGTCAAAGTTACTTTTGGTAAATGTTTCAGAATACAAACACGGATATTGTACGCCCGTTAATCCCACCCATTACAACCAGACAACGTCGTCTTGTGGATATAATTAGTAAGATAGGAAAAAATCATTCCTGATCGCCGAAACTCTGCAGGCAGAATATGAATTTGTCCCATTTTATAAATAAAATATGTGCAGCCAACAGTCCCTTACATTTTATAAATTGGAGAATGCCGTTCCCAATAATTAGGGCCGGTCCCTGCACCCCATAACCATTTGTGAA